AAAAAAAAACACACACAAACACACACACACACACAAATGATTATCACTTGCCTTCGCGTTCATATATATATATATATATATATATATATATATGTATATATATATATATATATATATATATATATATATATATATATATATATACAGGTTTATATGTTCACGAACCTCTTACATGTACTACATGTAATTTTCGAAAAACTCTATATGGATATAAAAAAAGAAAAATACATGACGTGTACGTTTTGTACTTGTGCATGAAAAGTACACGTAATTCCAACATTTGTAAATTGAACTTGCAAAGATACCTTAATACGAAAACGTACATATATTTTTTTCATTACATAGGTACCTGTATTTGAACTCTTGTAATTGTTATAATTATTTAATTTTAACACTTTAATAATTATAGTTTCAAAGTGAAGCCAAGGTCATCACGTGTCGGTAATCATCCACCTGTTTCGAAGATATTGCGGGTGCTAAGAGCAATCGCGGTGGGTTTTTTTTAATTGACACTTGCTAGCTGGATGTATACTGTCTCCATGGTCACGGTATACCTGAATATATACTCCCCCTACATTCGATGCCCCTTAAGTTACATGTACCTCGTCTGGACACGTTATCAATGAGAAATTCAATTATTATTCTTATTCTTTTTTTTATTTTTTAATTTGGAAACGTAATAGTTCTTTAGTACGTTGCATGTAATTTGCTGGTACCTTAATGCTGAAAATCAGTAATAGCTTTACGAGAGAGAGAGAGAGAGAGAGAACACTGTATATTATTTGAAATTAAAATCGCTACAACCGACCTATAGAAAACAATTCGAGTACGGAGAGAGATGGGGGGGGGGGGGGGCTCATCGAAATAATACAATAAAAAAATCAGGTGTTATTATCTTAATTTCATCTACTTAATCATGCGAGTTTACAGTTATTGAATTCTTATTTTGTTTGTTTTCTTTCTTGTTTTTATATATTTTTAAACATTTAGAATTTTGTTTGTTAACTTGCCGCTCCAGTATGTACATGTATGTAGTGGGGCGGGGGGAGGGGGGGATCATGAACCAGTAAGGAACACAAACTATTCAAATGATCATTTACATGTATTTGAAAACAACTTTAAAATAAAATATATTCTTATCAGTGGACCAGTTATTAGTTCTTGTTTGTTTGTTTGTTTTGGTTTTTTGTTGTTGGGTTTTTTTTATAAGTCTTCCGTTAAACTCGCCTTCTAAAACAATGATTTATAGTATGGAAGTAAATTATAAATGATCTGTAAAACGAAACTCAAGTTACACTGTATGAGAATTTTTAGTGATTATCACGATCTACATATACATGTAATGGACGACAACCTAGCTTAAATGTAAAGTGTTAAATATGAAAACTTAGCATTTTACGTGTACAGTATGTCTCAGCTATTTCATAGATAAGATCAAAATTCAGTTGTTTGTCTTTCAAACATTTAAATTACGATTTAAATAGCATTTACAATTACAACTGGAAGTTCCAACTTATTTTAAAACGCATGAATAATGTAAACAAATGAATTTAAAGCTTTTTTTTTATTAAGATACTCTTATCAATTTCACTCCATCCGATACATCGAAAATAAATTTAACACCTTTTCTTCTTTTTCTTTCGAGATATAATTAGCTTGTAAGTTAAGAAAAATAAAAGTGATAATTCTACGTCGAATGTACGGTGAAATTCTTGAAAATTTATCAACGTTCTGCATATTGTCACTTACATGTACATGTTTCGATCGCCATAAAAACAATAATGATCGATTTCACTACTGTATCTGGAATATAAAAGGGGCGGGGCTAACTGGCGGCAAGATTAAAGCGGGGTCCGCTTCACGCATGAGTGCGTAAAGCGAACCCGGAAAGCGAACGCCGGGTTCACTCTAGCGGACCCAGAGCTGACCCCGAGCGAACGCAGAGCGAACCCGAAGCGCACCCAGAGCGGTCCCAAATTTTCTGAGAGCGGACCTGCAGCGAACCCCGAGCGAAACCAGGAAGCGAACCTGGGGTGCGCTTTGGGATCGCTCTGGTGTTAGGTTGTGTCCGGTCGGTACTGTAAATCACGAACGTCATCAAAAATATTCAGATCAGAAACACATATCAAACCTGAACAGTTGAAATGAATATTTCATTGTAAAATCTAATACTTAGATTTAAACCATATCGATGTGTCGTCTTCCGCACTCTAAAGAGCGTGTATAGCCTAAAACAGCTGATAAATGTCGGTTTTTATAGCTATGTCGGGCTGTTCCAAGGAGATTCCCACGACATTTACACTCCGTGATTCTACTGATAAAGCAATGAAATAAGCAACTGATTTTGTTATTTTACATTCATAAAAGTTAATCAGTATATGTTAAAAATAAATTTATCAGTAATTTAAGAATATTTTTACCCCCCCCCCCCCCCCAATCATAAATTGTCTACATTCTATGCAATTGTTACACAAGTAAACAAATAAATTGACCCTCTGTTAAATGGACCAGCGAAATCGCGACATGGTTCGTTTCTCTATAGAGAAAAGGATCAACCGTATTTTAGAGCTGTTAGTAGAATAGAAATAAAGTCCTTGTTGTCGTGAATGATGCAGAATAACCTCATCGTCTGTTGTTTGAAATATAAAAGCCTCGGCTAACTCCTCGGCTTTTATATTTAAGCATTTCTCGACCTCAGAGGTTATCCTGCAACCTTCACGAAAACGCAGACTTTATTTCTTAAATATATCTGCAAAAACCAACTGTGTGTAGTAAATATAAGGAAATTATCAAATCTTCATGCTGCTGTAAATATCTGAAAATCCTTTTTTGGTGACATAACTCATTACTGTACAGATGAATTTATACGTAGATCCCAACTCCTCTTTTCCTTTCAATAAAAAAACGGAGAGGGCAAATTAACCGCCTTCGAATGAAAACTTCCTTACTAAATGAACATCAGAAAGACTATTCTCGTGTGATACCCCCCCCCCCCGAAAAAAATACATGTCTGCATCTGGTTGAGTACAGTTTGGGTCACACTCTCGATCATGTTCTCTGCCCATGGTACATACATCTGTTTAATTGCTATATATATTTTCCAGGAGGAAATATCAGTACAGGCTTATGCGAAGTAATTTCACCAAACTTTTTTTTTCGGGACGCACGGTATATGCTTTGTAATCTAAGGTAAAATACATGTACTGGAAATATTGTTGAGGTGACACACACTTCGCTTTTTATAGTGCAAAACGGGTGTCTATTTAACCCCGGCCAAAATGTAAGAATAAGATTCACTTCCAATCTGGGGATGGTTATTGGAGGGGGTGCCCTGTCCATCTCATTATTGTTTACACAGACAAACGAGTTTCTTGCAATTCAGTGGCGTATCTCTGTCTGTTTGATACAAAACACAATTTTCTTCTATTTTTTTTTGTATTTCTCGTATTTATCAAAGTCGCAGTTAAATCGGAATCTGAATCGCTACCCGACGTGCCTCCCCCTTCCTTGTGCACATAACAACCATGGTAACAAAAAGAGGTATAATTCAAAAGAAAGCTTCCTGATTTTTTTTTTAAAATGGTATCACAATGTATTTTTAACTATTTTATTTTCATGTCCCTATCATTAAATCTTTATTTTTATATTTGAAAATAAAAGAAAAAGAAATTATCGAGTCATTTCCATGCAAAATGTGCAGGTAACAAAGATATATAATATAGTTAATAATTAATAATAGTTAATATTGGGCTTCATTCTTTAAGGTCAGGGGAAGCGGGTATTGCTACATATGCCAGTAGTTTGAAAAGACATGGTAGGTCGAAAACTGATAGTTCAAAAGTCGGATATATTGGCTCAGTTGAGAAGCGTTTGTTTGTCTCTTGGATTGTATTCGCATTCGTTTATCTTGCCCATATATTGTATTTTCTATTTTCTATTATATTATATTATATATTATATTATATTTTCTAACCCATGTACGCTGACTGTCATGCATAGCATGTTGTTGTTTTTCATATTGTATTTTAGTGATGGAGTAAATACTGGTATTTTCCCGAGTTTCGATAGTATTACGAAAAAAATGTATTAATGACAAGATGTTTTACATGTAGCGTGGATTGGACAGAGATTGACCAATGGAAATTGATTTTGATGTTCAGTGGAGAACTGGTTTTAAAGGTTGATCATTTCTAGCCGCCTACTTAAGCGAGCAGCAGCAACGTTTATCATATGTAGATATATGTGAAATGAATTTTTATTAGGTTTAAGATGTAAGTTGTGAGGTCCGTCACAACTTTAATTGCACCAAGCGGTATATTTGGTTTATAATTTTGGAAATTTAATAGCACGGTTTTCAACACACACAAGACTGGCTGCTATGCACATCATGTTGTTTTTTAATTATTGTAAGTACGTAATGGAGTAAATTCTTGATGGAAATTATTGATCGTTTTCTTTATATTTCATTTTTTGAAGTCTTTATTTATGTTGAAGTCGAAAGCGAGAAGCATCTCTTTCAATTTACAAATATTCAAAGGTATTCTATGTTAAAAATGTAAGCATGATTGAAATAAAATTATTCAAATGAAATATATTGAGATAACGAACTGTATTCAAGCTCAAAAGTCCATTCAAAAAATACAAATCAGGAGCAGATCAAAAAATGACCTCTGAAACATCAGAGGTGAGATCAGGTGCCATGGAGGAGTGAGCAACTTCTGCCGACCTGTCTCACATTAACGGAAAATCTAATGAACATGCGTTGATCAAAAAAATATCCGAAAGTTTCAATTATTTTGTCTCTCATCGTTATAATAAACCACAGATTGAACATATTAAATCTTAAGTAGGTTCATCTAAAGAAAATGTTTGCAAATGTAAATGATCATTCATAAACTGAGTTCAGAGCAATAATATTTTCCGTTGAATTTTTATTAACCGATAGTTTTTCCTTTATAATGTTTACTTTTATCCACTGAAGATAATTGACAAAGACATACCTGCAATCGCAGACGCTCGTTTGACAATATGTGAGTAAACTTTGCAAGCAATCTGAAAAGGATCCATTTCTCTTCTTGTCAAAATTGTGTGCTTTTTCTTATTTTCCTATAATGCAGAAAAAATATTTCCTTATTAATTATCCGACTTACAATTCATTAGATTATAATTGATTAAAAAACAGTATAATGCATATACATGACTCATTCTATATAAGACATTCATTATTTGGTTGAAATTCATATTCTTACTTCTTTCCAAAACGATTCGGTGTCCACCCAGTCACATGGTTGACTGCATCCCTGACAGAACTTGTATCTTTTTGACACAAAGTGATTTACCGAATTTTCTTTATAACCCTCTTCTTTTCGACAAAGAAATCCTAATTCATACTCAGTGGAACATGAGTAAAACTGAACAAGTTGTCGAACTATTGTAAGTATTTCTTGCTTGACTTCTTGTCCATTTTGTTCTGAATGCTTTCCAATAAATTGAACAGTAACAATCCTTTTTGACGTAAAAAGGTAAATCTGTTCGCCCTCGTTGCCAGACTTTTGATAACACATATCTGCACCAGCTTTGCACAACCGGAAATCGTACGGGTGCCAATGTCCTGAGTTCACACAAGCTACTATTAATCTGCCAAAGAAATCATATGGCAGATAGTCTTTGAATTTAAAACAAAGGATCTGTGAGGACTCATTGCTTCTATACCTCGCATTGCTGGGTTTGAATTCCTGGGTGTTTATGCTAGGAACATACCAACCGTCTATGCTGGATCCATCATCGATTTCATAATTCTGAACATAGAACATCATACCAAGCTTACTCTGATATTCACCTAAAGTGTTCTGATACTGTTTTGAAATACCTTTCTGGGTCAATAATTTCTTGTAAAGACTGATCTCTAATACACCTTTTTCATGAAAGTTGCGCAACATTTTTTGGTCCTTAACATCAACAATCCTACAATCTTCTTCCACATGCTGGCGATCAGCTATTATGTGCTTGAAACAGTCAATAAACCACTGAATATCAAGAATAAGAATGTCCTGTAATCTACTCATATTGAAGAAAATAATTTTCCCAGAAGTGTGGAAGAAATGAAGCATATCTGCTACTTCAGTGTCACTCATTTCAAAATCAAAATGATCAATCATTTCCAAAACGTCTTCAATTTTTATAATTGGATATTTTCTTTTGATGATTTCAAACCGACTTGAAAATGTTACCCACTTTGCAGGCCGATTTTCTCTCCTGCATTTGTTGATGAGCATACAAATCTCATTTTTTATTTCAGTTAAAGCTTCCTCAGTTACTTCATCATATCTACAAAGATCTATAATGATAGGTTTTGAATATGCCTTTGTGACGAGATTTTCAGCCATAGCATCGTTAAGTAGATGAACAAAGTTGAAATCCTTCCTACAAAAAAAAATAATAGTTAAGAACATCAGTTTTTGGAAGATAATAAATAAAGAACGCTAATTGTCTTGGCACATGGAGAATCATGCAGCAACTGAAGTGATTCAGGAAAGTCTTCATAATACTGAAGCTAGTAAACTCGGCATCTGTATTAATCTATGGTAAATTATAATTTCATTTTTTTGTTTCGATTTTTATCATTATTACCGTTGATTTAGATTATCATTTTAAAGTATGTCTATTCAAAAAATGTCCCTAAAAATTAATAACCTATTTGCCATACACAGATCTAACTCCCTTGTTATTTAGAGCTGAACACGATTCGTAACTAGGCATACGCCATTTTTGATATTACTATCTACAATGTTAGCGTTCGTTACACGTGACTGCTGTAATGTAACGGTTATCGGCGTGGAATGGCGACCCGTGTTCGTGCTGATAATCTTGCATTACCTTTGTTTACATTTTATTGCAGATACGTGTATTTGTGTTTGTTTGCACTGACCTGTGCAACTGTTCTAAGTTTCTTTGGTATTTTACTCTCCTACATTAGCAGAAGTACACGGTTATTTTTTTGCTGTATAGCATGCGTTCGTCTACACAGGTGACGATTTATTACACTGGACAGTGACTTAGTCAGGGACTTCATATAGGGGTCCTCAGATATAGCAAGAGACCAATCAAATATGGCGGACAAATTACTTTTACAAATCGTGTTCAGCTTTAATGATTAAACCATGGGTACATAGAAGGTGGATTACATACCAATTCAAAATTGGGTAGGAGTTTACATTGTGTTTGGATGACAGTAAGGACTGCTGACTGGCTAGGAGCTAAAGTTTAAAAACGTCAAACGTCAAAGGGAAATGAAAAGTTGGACACGTGCTCAAAACCTGTATGTCCAAATGGCTCCACAGAAGGTTTGATAACGTACCAACCCACTTCATTTACCAGCGAAGCTTCAAAACCCAGTGTCATAGATTCTGACACTTCTGTTCCATATTTAAATATTTTATTAGAAAAAGACGTTAATATAACAACAAAACTTTGTGATAAACGTTATGACTTCAACTTTTCCATCGTCAACTTCCCTTATTTAAGAAGCAATATACCCTTGCCACCTGCATATGTTTTTTTTATCTCCCAGTTGATTCGATAGGCAAAGGGCATGTTCTACGTATATACGAACTATTTCTTAAACTAGGCAAGCTATTGACAAACTACTTGATGAAACAAGAAAATCAGCAGTCTCCTTTAAAGTCAACATTTTGCAAATCTTATTGTCGATACAATGATCTTGCCATAAAAAGTTTCTATCATTGAGTCATCAAGCCTACAACTAACATGAAAGAATTGTCAGTATAGTGGAATATACCAAGAATTGTAAATGAAAACAAATGTACCTTTTTTCGTCTTCATGAGTTCCAATAAAAATAATGCGTTCACTACTACCCCCATGGATTTGAATTGTTTTCAACCAGTAGTAGAAATAATCTGAAAAAAAAATCAATGAAGCAGACTTTTGAAGATGAAAGAAATCATTATAATATTGACAGATAGTTTAATGCTTAATTTTACCTTTTGGACTCCAACAGGTAAAAGCAACTCCGGGTCTATCGCAAAGAAAAAGGTTTTTGTTGACTGCCTCGGGAATGCTTTTATTCTCTTCTCTTTCTTTATGTTTTTTTCTTTGATTAAAGTCTTTAGATGTGTCTATCGCGAGAATGAATATAGCATCCTTGCGAATATATGTCTGATGAGAGGCGTAGTATTCTCCTTGACCGGCAAAATCCAACACATCCAAAACAACATCATCTTTATTTCCAAATCGTAATTTTAAGTTTCTTTTATTTCTTTCTTCAAATTCTTCTTCAAGCATAACTATTAAAGAATTTTTATAATACTCTGCCTGCTTTGACTCTGTGTCGTCTTCTGTCTGTGTATTATGCGTTGGCTCCTTATCATGTTCTATCTGTTTATAATGCTTTGACTCTATGTTGACTTCTGTCTGTTCATCATGCGTTGGCTCTCTGTCGTCTTCTGTCTGTTTATAATGTTCCGGCTTTGTGTCGTCTTCTGTCTGTGTATTATGCTTTAGCTCTTTATCATGTTCTGTCTGTTTATCACGATTTGGCTCTTTTTCATTCTCTCTCTGTCTATCGTTATCTGTTTAACATTGAAAAAGAAACTACGTCCAAACTATCAATGTACAAAAATCGTTTGTGTCTGCCTCTCTCTCTCTCTCAAAAACTTCTACATGTTTTACGAGACTTCTACATAAAAAGAAGAAGTCTTTTGCTATGGCCGTCAATTCAGAATTTAGATAGTTAATGATAAGTAAACATCAAACCCAACGACAGGATAACGACAGGCTGTTTTTGCAGTTAAAGTATCTGTATCAAAAATTAAAATAAATATCTTTGAAAATTGTTGAAATCCTTGTTCCATCAACTTCTTTATCCGGAATGTGTTCCTCAAAGTGTTTCTAACTGAATAGAGACGTAATCTCCATTTGCATTTACATAATGTTGCAAATCATATCACTTTTGTCAATGCTTGATTTATAAATCTCAGTAGAGGAAAAAAATGTTTTCGTTTTAAAACTGTTATTAATACCATATATCTATAGAAACAATCACAAAAACGATCAATAGCCTTTTTTCTCTAAATCTAAAGGTACAGAAGAACAAAGCATTGATTTCATAATCAGACAATAGTTGCAGCATTAGCTGAACAACTACGTTTTCCCCTAAAGTAAGATCGTAATACATTATTATTAAAACATCTGTTGTTATTTTTTACCTTTCGAAAATCTACTGACGTGTCCAGGGTCGACTGAAAAACTGTTGACTCCCTTCAGGTTCATCTCTGCAGAAGATATTTGTTTTTCTTGTGAATTGTCAATCTAAATACACTTATTTGACAGGACCAAAAGGTCAACAAAATATTATTATCATCCTGAGAAATCAATCTTGCAATGCATAAAAAGTCAACTATTTGTCCATGATTTCATCAAGACATTCAATAAAATTTTGAAAAAAAAAAATACTGAATTCATACTTCATGGGGCTGCTAGCATGATACTATAAATCTCCTGTGCAAACAACCCTGATGTCCGGTTGTTTTTTGTGATTTGTTTTCTTTATATTTGTATATAACACTTAAAGACAGTGTGTACTGAGGCAAACTTGGCGGCGGTTGAGATAAATGACATTTTACTTTGAAAACGTGTTTCAGGTCAATCTACAATGCCACATTATATGGATTGCGAGGAAAACCAATAGAAAATATTCTTATTGCTTTAATTTAAAAAATACAAATATACTCGTGTGCAAACAACCCTGATGCCCAGTTGTTTTTGTGATTTGTTTCCTTTATATTTGTATATACAGGTACAAAATATTTTCTGGTCATGCTCTCAGTAAGAAAGGATGATGGGTTATCACCGCAAAATTTGTAATTGGTTGCTATCAATTGTTGACTAGATATTCAAATATACAATGTAAATAATAAAATGGTTGTAGGTGCAACGTTTAGTCTTTTGTCACTTCCTACATGTAAACTTCCGTGGATAATTTACTGTACCTTATTCATTAACAGTCTCGCTGTAGTCTTACTAAATCTCGCCAGAGCTACTAAGAACTACTCGTGTTTTATACTAGTAATTTGCAAAAAACCGAAACATAAAAGAATCCGGGCACATTACTAGGGGTGCGGGTCTTTATATCTAATGATTATTAAAAAAAAAATATCTATATTCTTATTGATTTTTGTATAGCATTAAATTTATTGAATCAGTCCACAAAAGTTTTTCACAATCTCTCTACTATTTCCCATTTGACCTCTACCTGTGTTAAAACGACACTGTGATTGTTTTGTAAATGATGCGTATGTATCTTCATCCAAAAAAATCTCATAGAAGGTAAATAAAATAAACGTAATAGTAAATCCTTGAGCAGTACATGCAGAAAAAATATAACCAATGTTAATTTTTTTTTTAACAAAAAGAAGTTTATCAGTATATTAAATAATTTAAATACAATATATACTATGAGGCGATTTAGTTAGTTGCCTTGCTAAAAATTACCTTGGGTGGAACATCACTCCAAATCTCTATCGAGATCATAATTGGTAAAAGACAGAAAAACAAGACATACTAACTTGACTGTTCACCGTGATATTTTTGGAGAAAAATGTATTGACCACTCAAAATTGTTTTATCAAAGCAAGCAGTCGTATTATTCGAACAAAATCCTTGAATGTTGGTCGGATAGTAAGAGTCTATATTCCATTACAAAAAAACTCATGAGCAGAACTAATGTCACGCCGCTCCCGGAATGTGTTAATGACGATATCCTTTCTAATAAATTCAGTAAATATTTTGTGTCTAAGATTCAGAACATCAGTGTTGTCATCAAATATCGTAGATGATCATCATGCCGATGCATTGTCTTCTGATGTGCCGTTTACAGGCGTGCCGTTGAATTCATTCGATTCGACGTCTGGTGATGAGATCTGGAAACTCTTGTTATCTATGCCACCAAAATCATGCGCACTAGATGCTGTCCCAACATCGATAATCAGAAAATGTGTTGAACAATTTGTACCTTTCATTACTGAATTAGTGAATAAATCATTACGTCAATCTGTCATGCCGAAGGATCTTAAACAGGCTATTATCAAGCCACTATTAAAGAAACATAATCTAGATACGAACGAACTCAAAAATTATAGACCTGTTTCAAATTTATCATTCCTCTCAAAGGTTATTGAGAAAGTTGTTGCAATTCGCTTAGAACATCATCTAGATTCAAATCATTTGCACGACACTCTACAATCTGCATACCGCTCGTATCACTCAACCGAAACTGCACTGGTGCGTGTTCACAATGACATTGCTACCGCCTTAGACAACAATTCTTATGCTGTATTTGTCATGCTCGACCTTTCGGCCGCGTTCGATGTTATAGACCACCAGATTCTATTCCATCGTCTTGAGTATTCATACGGGATATCCGGTGCTGTGCTTTCATGGATAAAATCCTACTTAACTGACAGGAGTCAGAGAGTTTCGGTTGGTGCAACCTTATCAAATGCAGACTCGGTTGAAATCGGTGTGCCTCAGGGCTCGGTTTTAGGACCCAGGATGTACTGTTTGTTTTCCGAACCTACAGGAAATATATGCACACGCCACAAAATGCGATATCACTGCTATGCAGATGATACCCAAATATATCTAGTTATTGAGCCAAATGAAAACTGGAATAATGTTGCTACTTCTCTTAGTGCTTGTCTCACAGACATAAAATCGTGGATGTGTACCAATCTTTTAAAGTTAAACCATGATAAGACTGAATTGATGCTCTTTTGTCCAAATCATAAAATAAAGGAAGCTTCTACATTAAATCTCCAATTTGGAGAAAGCTCGATCAGTGACTCTCCTTTCGTAAAGAACCTTGGATTTCGACCGGACTCTAAGTATGGAGAAAAACTGCAGTTCAATAGTTAGAACCTGCTTCAATAACATCCGGAAAATCGGTCGCATCCGTTCGTATATCACAGATTACGCATGTAAAACTTTGATTAATTCACTTGTGACTTCCTGACTCGATTACGGAAACTCACTGATGTACGGAATAAATAAACAACTTGTAAATAAGCTACAGAAAGTTCAAAATACTGTCGCACGGCTGATAACTCGTACCAGGAAATGTGATCACGAGACCCCAATCTTAAAAAAATCTCCACTGGCTTCATGTCGAATACAGAAGTCAATATAATCTACTTTTGTTTGTATACAATGCATTGAACATCCGTGCTCCAAACTACTTGTCCGATCTTCTCAAAATATACTCGCCTCCCAGATCTTTACGTTCACAGAATTCATTCCTTTTGGATGTTCCTAAGGTTAGAACTGTAACCTACGGCAGTCGCGGATTTGACTATGCCGCCGCCTTACTTTGGACCTCTTTACCCTTATGTATTAAAAAATCCAAATCCGTCTCCTCTTTTAAAAAAGGTCTTAAAACTCACCTCTTTGAACTTGTCTATGACACACTGTAAATATTGTATTTTTAGTGATTTATTCAGAATTGAACATTGAACTGGTTATAAGGTCTTTTAGGAATTTTGTGTTTAATTCAATAGTACAGACTCTTTTGAATTTTAAACGTTTCAATAATTGTAATTTTATAATAGGGTTTTCCGCGCAGTGGTTCAGCACACTAGTAACATTTTATGTTCTTATAGTTCATAAGGTCTTTTGGTTAGCCTATTTTTTACGCACATGCATATGCATTTTTTAAGTACTTTGTTCTTCATTTTGTATGCTTATGTGTATTTTAATGCTAAACGCACTAGAGTGTCTTTATTATAATGCGCTATAGAAATTATTGCATTGTATTGTATTGTAAAATCCTGGAAAATTTTTCCTTTAAATTTACTTTTCTCATCAAGGGATTGTAACATGATTTAAACAATATCAATTCAATTTTATTATTGTTTATCACCTATCAGAAAACAATTTGACTCATCAAAAAGTTAAGAAATGCTTAGATAATGCTGAATTTTCAAAAATTGCTTAGAAGAGATAAAATATGGAAATTTTAAAAACATTTGATTTTAGTCAGATATTTTGAAACCTCGACCACTAAATCTTTCTTGTACACGACGCTTAGGTAAGCTGACAATTCAGTGACAAATGACAGAAATTCAAATGGTAATTGTATCTTGTGAAATATTTAGGCCATATTGATTAATTGTGTTGCCACGAAGTAAGTCGGGATATGTATTGCTTTTGATAGTCAAACTTTGTCCGCCAATATTCTCGCAAATGTCAAGGTGAATCTCATCAAAACTTAGGAAAAATGATAACCACCAACACAGGATGCACCATTCACATACGAATTTTTTTCAAAATGGGTTTCGTTTCCTGGAAACATACGAAATATATATATATTTTTAAATTTCCCTTTTTACAGTGATTGAAAAGGATTATATTTTTGCATTCTACCCAAAGTTTTTTCAGTGCCCAAAAAGTGAATCGACCGTTCGTTATGGAGAGAAGAATTAATTAAATAGTAACACTTCCAGCAAAAAAAATAAAGTTGCAGGGTGATATATGCTATTGCTTGCAATAGCAAAAATTCTCTCACATTGTCGTTTTACGTCCCTTTCCCGAAACTCGGGGATATTGAGCAGTGAAAGTTCTTAATCGTGTCAACACTTATCGTTTTTTAAGGTTATATTCGAAAGACCAATAAATTTCACCACTGATGCCAGGTAACTGGCAAAAAACAGTCAGTATGTATGTTATACACCTAAGGTTTGATTCGGCATCAGAACCGTTAACCGAACCCGTGACCTCCCGATCATGTTGTGTGAGTGTGAGCTTTTCTAGCTATAGAGACCAGTTTATTTAGACCAGGAAAAAATATCTTCTAAAGATTGCATGCATGGATAAAACATTACCAAGTTGGTTTTTTGTTATGATAAAGCTGTGCTCTTCAGTGTGGCATTCAATTCCTCTTGTAGATTTGATTGCTTCTATTTCTTTCCGGCTTTTTCCCTGGAGGCGGTACAGCAGAGTTGTTTTTCCCACTTCATGTTCTCCAACAATTATAATTTGTGAAATCGGGCAAACTTCCACTGATCCTTCTTCAAGATATATCTTATAACGCTCCAAAAATTCTTCGTCCTCGAGGCATGTGTGCACTATAGAAGATATTTAGATACGTTTCTAAAACATTATACGATTGCTTTAAGTAACTTTCAAAACAAAAAGTAATTTTTGTAATTACGTGCAAATTATGTCCTTAGTAAAAAACCAATTTTTTTAGCATTTTGTAAATAAAATTAGGTAATTTTTTGTTTCCATTTGGTAACTGTATTATAGATAATTACAAAAATATTCAAAATGTTTCAATATGACCTAATTACTAAATTTTACACCATATTTCATTAGTCTTACTTTCATTCATGGGATCATCTTCATCTGACATCAAATGCAAACCTTCTTCTGACTCCTGGTGTTTGTCTAAACATATAAAAAATAAAGTGTTCACATGACAAAAGTAATCACTTATAAGCACACTGCCTTAAAATTATATGTTGTTTACTGTTTTTTCCTTTTTTTTACTTCAATATGTCAACAGTGGAATTGACGGGGTTAATATAAGTAATATTCTTAATCACAAAAGGGTCCAGTCTTGTATTCCACCATATTTCAAGTTAAAGACTACACCTTGTATTTCATACAAATATACATCGACTATTGCTTCCAAACTTCTTAATTACAAGGAAACTTTACAGTGCTTGGATATCGAATATATGAAACATAATCCTCCATCGTGTTAATGTTCTTCTTCACCTCTTGCTGGACACGTTATTACTGGTGACGTAAATATAGTTAATAATGAGGACCTTAGATCACTAATTTTAAAAGGTCCTAAATATAAGGAACCCCGATCCTTCAACTGCGTCGGAATTTCATAAATATTATGGACTCTGTAGAGGATTACGCCAGGCGATGGGCCAGACATGAAAAAAAGACGTTGCACTTTGTCAGAATGGATTAAATGTATCAGATGTATGTTAAAATCGCACATTAAAAGATTGAGGGGCAATATGAGAACCATCTATCCTTCTGTATTCAATAATCCAGAAGTGAAAATGAACTAGATAGATTACATGATCAGTACGTACTGGTCCCTGCTGACAAAGCAGGTAACAACATTGTCTTTGTTTGTAAGGCTCATTATATTAAATATATTTTAGAGGAACTTGGATTTAATTTTACAAGTGGTACATGTAATCCAAATTATACTCATAGTTCTCTTTCTAAGGAAAACATTCTTCAAAATCATATGTCAGTTTTTAATATTTTTAATATTCCAAACAACCAAAATGATTTTAAATTACCATATCTATATTGGATTCCAAAACTTCATTAAAATCCTTACAAACATACATAGCGGGTTCCAGTAAATGTTCAACCAAGCCTCTTTCTTTACTCCTCACTAAGATATTATCAGATTTAGAAATATCGACGACATATTGTCAATTAACAATTGTTATTTCCATTCTTATGGCGATACGATATATCCCGATGAGCTTGAGATAAAAGATACTACAGAGTCTGACACATCTGTTTCATATTTGGATATTTTACTTGAAAAAGACCTTAATGATAATCTCACAACCAAGCTTTATGATAAACGTGATGACTTTAACTTTTCAATCGTCAACTTCCCTTACTTATGCTGAAATATACCTTCATCACCTGAATACGGGTTTTATATCTCTGAGTTGATTCGATACGCAAGAGCATGCTCTACGTATGCGCAATTTCTAAAACGAAGATAATTATTGACAAACAAGTTGATGAAACAAGAATATCAGCTGTCTCGTTTAAAGTATCATTTCATAAGTCGTATGGTCGATACAATGACCTTGTCAGCAAATACAATTTATCATTGAGTCAAATGCTGACTGACGTTTTCCATACTAATTGTTAGGGCGTTATTTACACACTGAATTGTCTATTTCCCGACATGACAAGGAGCATACGGCAGGTGTGACCGGTCGGCAGGGGATGCTCACTCCTCCATGGCACCTAAACCCACCTCTGATGTTTGGAGATCCGTGTTTCCTCTACTCCTATTTTGTATTATTTAATGGACTTTTGAGCTTGAATACTGTTCGTTATCTCCATATATTTCACTCTTATAACCGGTCACAACCGGTTAAAAAAGTTAAAAAAAGTAAGCCCCCTCGATATTACAGAGGTTAACACGCATAATTCCACGCTAAAATTAGATGCCATTTTTTTTCTACAACTGAGGATCAAGGGACGTCATATATAAAATTTCAAATGAACAATATAGATAATTATATATTCATTAAAAAGTCCATTGAAACATATAGATTTGGAGCAGAGCAAACACGGACCTCTAAAACATCAGAGGTGGGATCAAGTTCTAAAGAAAAATAAGTATCCCCTGTTAACCGGTCATATCCGCCGTGTGTTCCTTGTCATGATAGGGCAGACAGGAAAATCCGTATACAATTCAGTGTAAAAATAATGGCTTAACAGCAGGTATGAAAACCGCCAGTCAACATCATTTGCTGACAAGGTCATTTCATCAACTATAAAATTTGCTAAATGTTGACTTGAAACGTGCGTATTGATGTTCTTGTTTCATCAGCATATATATCAATAGATTGTCTTGTTTAGAGATTGATCGTATGTTGAGCATGCTCTTTCATCTAAAGACATAAGCTCCATATGCAGGTTAAAATGGTACAATGTATATTGTGTTAATCACTCTATGTATTTTAGGGGGATCACCAACTAATCACAACAGTGAACACACTCTTCTCAAAGACACATTTTACTCAGTCAAAACAACCACAACTATCTCTTATCCCAGAAGAGTTATTCACTCAAAGTTATCTCTCTTGATCTATGTGAGAGAACATATTAACATATTGCTACATAATGAAAAAGGTGAAGATAACGAACAGTGATCTATCTCGAAAAACTTTTTTAATATCAACTTTGCAGCGCTTTGTATAAATATGAATTCAATTTAATAAAATGTTTCAGTTTGAAACGTTTATCAAGATACGTGTTAGTCACGAGATGAAATCTCCGAAAGGATTAATGGAAGATTTGATCACGCACTCACCCTTATTTATATCCCGATAAATGTTCCAAAATGATACCTTGTTACTTATATTTACATTTGTGACTAAGGATGACCTCATTTTAAATGGGTAACCAGAAAAGAAGCCACAATAATTCTACAATTTTCAAAAAATATATACATTTTTCTAGCTTATTACCTATTTATCCATGTTTTAAAAACAAAACAACAAATATTCATTGTTTTACTTATAAATGTCCCTTGTTCTCATATTTTCAAGTTGTCAAAAATGTAAGCTACTGACTGTCTACAACACATGTCTCGCCATATTAAACTGATCTCTACTTTCGATTTAAGTTAAGTATTTTCTCAACTCATAAAACGTTTCATTTGAAAAGAAATACGATGCCATCGTAGTCTGTTCCTGGAGAGTTTAATCTCAAAATTGGAAAAAAATTAATTTGGCATTGGGAATAGTACTGTTATCCGGTACCACTTATATAAAGAAAAACGTTTAAACGTTATGGACTAGGTTAAAGATTTTTAAAAGTAGGTCAAACTCCAAAGTCAAGGTCAAAGGGTAAAAATTAGTGGTACTCAAGGGATGATCTTGTCACAAGGAATATGAAAGTCAAGGATAAAATTTTCTGAAGGTCCAAGGTCAAGGTCAAATCGTAAAATTACTGGTCTTCCAACGGGAATACACATGTGTAATATATAAACATTAGCTTCAACCATTCAAAATTTATGGCCCAGGTTAAAGTCAGGGGAACCAGTTAAGCTACTGGATTACCTTTTCTTGCTCGTTTAGACCTCCTCCGATTCCACAAAATCACTAATGCAATCGCAACCAGCAGTAATAAAACACCAAGCGAAACTGGAATTAAATATAGCAGCCTGGGATTATCATTTCCATTGAGTGCTGGAATGGAAGTTGCCTCAACTAGAAGACTTTTATTATCAGTTGCAGTATATGTAAGCTTAATCGTTTCTTTTTCCGACGAAGTTATTGTAGACATGGCCGTTGTTTTGAGAAACCTAAGAACACATTTAATTTTTTAACAAAGTTGTAAAATATTTTGCAATCAAATAGGATTAAATGCATGAAGTCCCTTATATATTTGATATCTGAAATAAAATTTAAAAGATATTTTATGTCTGTACAAGATAATAGATATTTTCTTCTACAATAAGCAATTATAAATGTAAAGAGTATAATTTGCTAGTATAACAACCTTTATTATAATTCTAACATTTGTAAGTGATTTATATCAAAATACCTTATTATAGTTACAGTTTATGCTATTACCTTTCATTAGGACACCTGGGATCCGCAATATAACAATTGTTTTGTGGGTTTATCTTTAAGCAGGCTGGATCTATGAAAAAGAGATTTGTCATCAATATGAAGGAATACTAGTAATATTTTTATTCTGAGAGAACGCAAGGACAGCTGAAGATAAGGAAAGGTGATCGATATTAAAAACAACCTACAAAAATAAAAAAAAAAATAATCTGTGAACAGGGCGTAAATCACGGATCCCTGAAAATTCAGAAATGGGATCTCGTGCTTTCGAGGAGTAAGCATTCTCTTTTGACCAGTCACACCCACCAAGAATTCTACATGTATATATTGATAAGGTAGACCGAACATTACCTAGTCAAATTTAGTACAAAACAATGGACTAAATATTAGTTTGATATATGACAATCAAAATACGACACAATTTTAGATTATATCTGCAACAAAGGCATGGGGAAAGAACGCAAAAGGAACAATGAAAACTTCTAAGAGATCAAAATCAGAATATGCCTCCAATTCTTGATTTGTAATGTAATGTAACACTAAGTCGTGTTACCCTTCCCCAGTGAACTCGTATTATTGCACTTAAGTCCTCGCCTCTTATCTACATTTATTATACATGCACATTAAAGCATGAAATATAACACAAGTAACTTTTACTTAGCATTCGTGAACAGTCACAGATTCTTAGACATTACCGTGGTCATTTTTCTTCCTAGAAATCAACATTTTAATATAAGTTTTATATAAGTTAACATTTTCATAATAACATTCAAGTATGTTTTTTTGAATAAAGATCCAGGGTTCCTATAGATTTCTTTTATCAGAAATAACGAAATACGATTGCATAAGCGAATCAAGTTTTAACCAGAATAGGACAGAAAAAAGTAATGGCAAATGTATTAAATGTAGTAAATAGATTTAAAAGAAAAACTGATGGGTTTGGTTTTGTTTCACAAAACATATCTCCCATTCAAATGATAGGTTTTTTTAAACAACATTACTGACAGCAAAAGTATGATTTGGTGCATATCAAGGACAAGTCTTATCTCTTATTCATGTTATCCCTATAGCACACTGCCCAAATTATATAATGTCATACAGTCAATATATAGTCAATAGTTTTAATTGATCTTTTTCTACAATTTTCCTCTTAATTATCATTTAATGTTGAAAAAAAATTATTAGAAAAAAAATGTGAACGTGTTCAAATGCTATAGCTTGGACTTTTTGAAATGTAACCTAGATTTACGATGTGGGTCAAGGTCAAAACTTTGATGCGTTTTTTCACATTCCGAGTTAGAAAAACTAATTTCAAAGTGTTCAAATATATGGTATGAACATTTTTTTATTCAATTTGGTTAAACAAATGGGTTAAGTTCAAATATCTTAGAAAACTAATGAAAAAAATGAGAAAGTAACGAAAATTGAACAAGCTCATTATCTCAACTTTCCATGTTTTAACCACATTATGTAAAAAATAAAATCAAAGGAATCTCAAGGTTTGGGCTATATTTTGTTGAGGAAAAAAATGACCTTGGTTTTATAAATGGATTATGATAGAACATCTAGATGTCATGCACCCATTCTTAATAGCATCCGCCCATGTCTTAAATTTAAAGTATTAGATGAAAGGTTCTCAATTTACCGTCTGGACAGAATTTGGTTATATATATAAAAGAAGAAAAATAAAGGTTAGACTTAACAATTTGCTCATCTGAAATAAATTCTAAAAACAAATTGATTTTCTGAGAAATAAAATGCGAATTACATTGTTTTATAAGGTAAAGAGTAACACTTAACTCTTCAAGTCAATTAATTTTGTTTCATAATTTGAAATCCTATCTAAAACACGAGTTTAAGGCATATTGTATTTAAATGATAATATTGAAAGAAAAGATGTTTTAAATGTTTATTGAGTATCTATGCATAAACATCCTAGAATATACTTACAATTGTACATATTTTTCGAAAGGTAATTAGCATTTGGACAGCCATTGGTGAAATGGTCACATGGGTGGTCGTCCAAAGTATCCCTGGAGAGTACCATACAATTACCTGTGGATATTGCATTATTAATAAGCATAAATTGAATGAAGTGATTTGTAAGGAACGCCTTAAATTTTACATCATTGAGGATACTTTCATTAGAAACACTAGTATTAATTTATTTACCTGCTTCAATCAAACCACTAAATCCATCTAAACAGAATTCTACCAACCCAGACAGATTCGAGAAAGGTAAACAGTGATACACATTTACCGACTCCTTTACATCAGAACAGTTTAGTCTGAGTGTGGCTGCCTCGACTTCAGATTGATTTCTGGGACAGCTGTCTACGGGCCATAAGGTCAACTGAAAAAATAAAGATAAAATAATTTTGAATGAATGAGTTTTTTATAACCACTCGCAATTAAAAAACTGCCATAGCACAAGACAATCTCACTAACTTATATTATTAGACATAATATATAAGTATAAAGACTTTGTGAAATTCGAGTTTAATTTATCTGTCGCGTCAAATATAAAAATGAAAAAAAAAATCATATCGTTTTGTCATGGCTGCAGGAACCGGGGGCACAATATTTTTTTCCAAAAAAAATCATATAGTAAAATTAACATATAGTGTAATGTATAATTATTTTAAGCAGAGAGTTCATTTAAATCAATGAGACTGAGAGGCAGTCAGCGTGACTGTCCTTTAGCTTAAATAAAAAATTATTATGAAAAGCACTTAATGCCTTAACATTTCTTAGGGCATCATCCAAAAGGTCGTAATCATGAGGACATGGTTCGTTTCTCGTTCCCAGCGCCTGTTCGTTTCTCAAGCACCCGGCACTAGGAGTGAAAGTCAAGGATATTTCGGATATGACCTTAAGTTGTATCGCGATAGGTGTTGACACGGTAAAGTACCCTCACTCTTCAAGTGACGTTTAAAGTTCTTCACCGTTATTTGTTGACGACTCATACGAGTGAAAAAATCTCGCAAGAGACAACTAATCAAAAGGTTATCTTATATATGTTACCTTGACTAAATTTAAAGGTCTAACAAGTTTAGGTTTGCAGAAAGTCTGAAATGTCATCTCTTTGGCTTCATTAATGTCACAGAATAAACACTGGAATGTTACATTATTTTCTCAGCTTTTACAGGTAGTAGTATCGCTTTTGAAAAAAAAATGGAGGGGGGGTGAATAATAAATAGGCGGCTTATCTGAACAACCTTTGACAAGGGGAAAAAAGGGGCTATCCAAACTGGCTATCCAAACTCAATATTTTCATTTCTTGGAAGGAGGGATTACAACGTTTCCAACAAACATATTTTATATTATAAAACATTCCCATCCATGGGATGATTTGACGTACCATACTGCAACAAAAGGTGGAAGAGGGGGCAAGGGTGTGCCTTTTCAATGTTTGGGGGAAAAGTGGAAGGGGGTGGCCCTCCTGATGCTACGTGCCTGTATTATTTTACCTGTTGTAAATATGCTTTATTCATTTTAAATATATTTTGCATAATGTCTGTAAAAAAAATTCTAACAACAGAGAAATATTCGTAAGAATTATTTAAGGTCAATTTTTTTTATAAGATCAGACTACCTAAATTAAAAAGATCTTTCTGTTTGTTTTATTACTTTATTTAAAAATTACACAATTTAAATCAATCACGTTTCAAAGATAGAAAAAATTTAAAACAATAACCGATTTATTTACCGATTCCGCATTTAATTAACAGACACATAATGCTTCTTTATGATCTTTATTCCAATGCCTGCAGCACTGAGTTACTTAAATCAGAGACATTTATGTTTCTGCCTAAATTGTGCTTTTAGGTAAAATTTCGTTTTTTCGAAATTTATTTTTCTTGAGGGGGTGGGGGGGTGGGGGGATAAGTTCTGTTTTATTTTTCATATATACGGCAGTAATTATCGATTGACTAATGTACATGTCCACAGAAAAGTAAAGCATTTGCCATTGTATATATATGCATTTAATGTGAGTTATTATGTAAATGTTTTTACTGTTTTCTTTCGTCAGTAAATCTTGGATCCACGCCTTGGATTACACATTCCATATGCCATGTTTTGTGTATTTTGATCCCCGCGCGCTGACCATCGTTTTACGCAATAGCCTAGATACAATGTTTATGTGTATTTTGAAGATCCACCACCACAAGTGATCCTACCTCTATTACTTTCAATGAACCCTGAGTAATTTTACTTTGAGATGGACCATTTTGTTTAATAAAACAGACTTTGGTCAATTTTGTTTACATCTCTATATTTAGAAATCGTGTCATCATCAGGTCCTTTGCCAGACCACAAGCTTATGAATGGCAACTTGCACTAGGACTTCCCTTCCGGATTCAAACTTAATGTGTCATCTCCCGAGGGATATGACAATAATTCATTAGATAGCTTGTTCATAGAAACTTCGTCTTGATACAAAAATGCCTATACCCAACTGCCCTAATACCAGTTCAAAGCTTGTACATATTTAAAATCTGTTTGTAAAGCTAATATGATGAATTGGTGACTTTTTTTATCATTACTGTTTTAAGGCAAAGGTAAACCAGACAATGTGTGAAGTAGGATCTACCAGTGACGTAACACACCCCAGTGACGTAGGTCATGACGTGTAACTTTTTTTTTCAAAGCTTCAAAGTCTTCATTCTTGGTCCAAGAGTAGACACTATGTCTAAGATCAACTTTCCGCACAATTTCAATTTTGATTATATTTCACAATGTATGCCCAGACTGACGAAAGAAAGGCATTTTTCGAAAAAGTGCATGAAGAAGCAAGGAAAAGGGGATGGAGAGCACTAAATTTTCAAATCAAAGGGCAAAGATTTCAACAACCATAACTAATATCTAATATTTAACTTCGAATATTCGAAAAGATTGTGTTTCCTCCAAATGATGCTCCTTCTGAGCTTTTCCCGATTCAGATAAATGGTAATGGGAATTGTTTTTTTTTTTCAGAACTTTCTCTCTTTTGTGTTTGGACATGAGGACAATTTTAAGGAAATGAGGGTACAGATTGTGTTTGAACTTGTTTCAAACCTGAAGTGCTACACCAATGAAAACACTTTTGTGACCATGTCCACAAACAAATGTTCACTTCAATATATCTTTGAAAGTTCCCTGTCAGAAGATTGCTTAATTACTGGTGATTTGGTTGCTTCATTACAAAAGGAAACAATAAAAACAACCCAGAACGGTTACTACTCAAGCCTTTTACATATGTTTAATAGTAGCTTTTAACGTTTTGCAGAAACCAATCATGTCAATTTCCCCCGACGTGCAAAACCCTGGTGTAAACAGACAAGATCATAATCAGCTTATTGTTCCTCTTGATGCTAAACAAAATCAGGATGCTATCCACATCAGGTCATGTGGACTCAAACAATTGCTACAAAAATACATGGTTGGGCACCTAAATATTTTGTTGCCTGTATTCACAAGCCCGAGGAACCTCTGTCAAATCGTTCTAGGTTATCCTTTGGGGATTCTAAACCTCATCGCTCATTTGCTTCACAAACATGCAGGTTGCTTCCTTTATTGATTCTTCTTCTTCAGAAGAAGAAGATGATATCTCAGAAATACAAGTTCAAAAGGCCCAGGTTGTACATGAAAAGTGGCATACACCAGAGATAGGTTGTACCCCAAATCAGCCCCGGACTATTTTCTTTCAAGCAAAAAGGTTTGGTAAAAAGATGAGATCTTTCAATGCCTCCTGGTTTGATCAGGGGTCTTGGTTACATTATGTAGAAATCAAAGATGTTTTATTCTGTTATCCTTGCATAAAATCATTTCAGAAGAAGACTCTCAATTGTCACAAGGAAGAAAAAGCTTTCATATCTAGTCTCCTTAAAAACTGAAAAAAACAACCACAAAATTCGCCGTACATGAGAAAAGTGATTGCCATAAAGAGGCAACGGAAAGGGAGTTTACGATAAAGGAGGAGGTTAGAGATGTTGGAGAATCTTTTTCAAAGACGCAAGAAGTCGAGAAGTCTAACAGAGAGAATTTGCTTAAATTCACAAACATTTTGAAGTTTCTTGCTCGGCAAGGAATTGCTCCCCGGGGTGACAAAGACGAGAAATACTCAAACTCTTTAATCAACTTCTCATGCTTGAGGCTAAACGCGATCCCCAGCTTCAGGAATGGCTACAACGCAAGACAAATAAGTATACAAAATGAAATTTTGCAGGTATTGGGGTTGCAGGTTTTGCGACAAATTGTTGCCTTCATCAAATCGTCTGAACTCTTTTCAATAATGGCAGACGAAACAAGAGACATTTCCAAGAAAGAGCAACTTGTTTTATGCACTCGAAGGGTAGATCAAAATTTTACCGCTCGTGAAGATTTATTAGGGATGCACTCTTTCTGACATTGGGGCTAATTCAATAACCCTAGCAAATAAAGATGCCCTCTTGAGGTTCGATCTGCCTATCAGCAAAGTACGAGGCCAGGGTTATGATATGGCTGCTTCTATGGCTGGTTCAAACTCAAGTGTTGTAACACACATTCATGCACTTGAACCCAGAGCCCTTTACATACACTGTTATGGTCATGCTCTTAACCTGGCTTGCAGTGATTCTATTAAGGGATGTAAGTTGCTTTGATACACCCTGGACATTACAAAGGATTTAGCAAAGTTGATTAAAGAATCTCCAAGAAGGGAGATGATTTTCAATACATTAAAAAATGCCCAAAATCTAGAGAAAACGTGAGTGGGAATAGGGGGTTTGCATCCCACAAGAGGGACAATAAAAGCCAATACATTCTTGCGCATTTTGTCAAACTATGAAATTCAAAGAAATGTTTGGGATGAAAGCCTCCAATACGAGCGTGAGGTAAAAATGAGAAACAGAATTAGTGGAGTGACTGTTTAATTTTTCTTTGGTTGTTTACTGATTAAAAAACTTTTACATTATATTGATAATCTGGCAAGGGTTCTGCAGGCTCCAAATCCATCGGCGAGTGATGGTCAAAAAATGGCATCAACGACAATGAGTGCTTTGCAAAGTCTCCGAGATGAGACAATCTTCACTCAGTTTTACGAGAAAGTTGTTGAAAAAGCAAAACAGATGAACATCGATGATCCTGCTCTTCCTAGAAAACGCAAAGTTCCTCGTAAACTTGATGATGGGACAGCAGCACATACTTTTTCATCGTGTGCAGATATGTATAGGAAAGATTTCTACGAGGCATTAGATCTGCTTTTAGCTGGCATAAAATCTAGATTTGACCAACCACGTTACAAAGCTTATGTAAATCTTGAAAACCTCGTAATTAAGGCTTGCACAGGTCAAATATTTGAAGAGGAATTCAATTTTGTCACGACCCTATATG